TTAGATGCGAGCTCCAGGTAAGGCGTTCGTCAAATATTAATCCTAGTTACCTTACTTCATCTGATGAAGGAATTATTTTGTTATTAAACGTGACAGGTGGGCAATCAGAATTGCGCAATGTAAAAGTTACATGAGTAGACTTGTCCCCAATATTTGTTTCTGTGATGTTGAGAGCTTTATAGCGGTTTGGAGTGGTGTATGTAAATTTGTTTTTGTTGATATTGTTTCCTTTTGATGCAGGTGAGTTGTCTGGGGAACTTTGACGTTTTCCGGTTTTGATTATCCAATCTGGGCTGAAATTGGAGTATTCTGTGTGTTTTTAGTTATGACAATTTTTAATGATTTCCCTTCGTCATTTGAGCCGCTCTGTATATTGTTGCGTGATGAAGACTGGCTTTTGATAAGCTTGTTATTCTTGGTCGGCATTGTGCCGCGATACTATCTACGGGACCAAGGTCACGCACGATTACGGTGCCTGGAACTGACGCTTGATAATTAAACGATCTAATTAGTGTATATCGTACTGTGATAGATAATTGATCTAATTAGTTTTAACACTTATTTGACCGTATAGATTATCACTTACGGCCGATTTAAATGAAAGTTTTATGTACATTTGTGGATTAATTTCCTTAAGATTTTGATCTAAGTTAGAATAAAATCGGTTTCGAATTACACCAGATAGTGTACGCATGGTGCGGAGCAAATTACACCGATGTGTGTTGCTACTTGCTACGCTAACCGCGGTGAACTGACGAAAATCTTAGTGCTGAGACATAAAATAATAAGATTTAATTCAAAATTATTAAACATCTATTTCCACTTAAATATTAGTTGTTACTTACCTTATGCAAATGTCCTTATATTGATTTAAATTGTTGAATATGATGAGTAAGTATTTTATTTTAATAAACTATAAACGTTATCTTCTACTTTACTGTGACAGTAAAAATGAAAAAAAAAAATTAAATATGTCCATTTATGTTCATTATTTCCTAATAATCGTTAGGGATCAAATGTGTACCGGTTATTAGCTATTTTTTCATTGCTCAACATTTTAAAAAACCCAAAATATATAGATCTATTAGAAATTTGATAAAGGTATACAAATAGTATGTATTATAATAATTAAAAAATATAAAATGTATTAAAAAAGGATAATAAAAGGATTGCTGAATCAAAAAGCTTGTAAACTACCCATGGACCATAAGTAATTTCATATTAGAAGTTCAAAAGTAATGAACATATAAAAATTAAAGGCACACATTTTTTTATAAGCATTTTAAATTCAAATTTTGACGAAATCCATCATATTATTTCTGGAGTAATTCTTAAAGTAGATCTTTTATTGTTTTCTTTATTTTTCTCATAATTCATCTCATTATCTTTTGCAGTTAAGCACCAAGCTAGAACTTGTTTTTCTCCTAACCCAAGTGTACTTAAAAACATTGTTTTACAAATATGCATCTTCAACTTTTAAATTATAAGACAGTATTGTTTCTTCGTGATGATTCTATGTTTTTTTGTTTTACAGCAGTGACTATTACTAAAGAAGTTACATAAGTTTTTTTTCATCACAGTCCAAGTTTTTCCAAAAAATATTAAATATTATTAACCTATCTACTTCAGTTATTTCATTACATTTTCTTTTTTGCGATTTTTTACATACTTCACTACTACAAGCTGGCCCAATATATTTTCTACCTACTCTATCAACGTTATGTATAATTTGCTTCCTATTTGACCGGCTATATCCTAAATATGGGTCACCTTCCATCCTTAACTTCTGATTAACTTTTCTTTTAAAGCTGACTGATATACTTTTTTTACTTTTTGTTACTTCATAATCCATATCCAAATTGTTGAAATATACAATTAATATTAGTATTCAAACCATGTAAACACACGTGCGTGTACAATGTCGTTTTCTAATAGATACTTATGCAGTTACGATATAGCTGTGTAACACCTTTACTATCGCTTTCTATATTATATACGGATACGGGATGGCCTCGATTGTTCATATAAATAGGGCCTTTGATGTATGTAATATTCACTTGCACAGACGCTGTCATACCGAGTGTACGCGGTGTGTGTGTATAGTCACAGTTTAATTGTCCAGTTGTACGTTATTATATATTATACTTATACATAATCATATTGTCGTGTTATTACTTATTATATTAATGCTAACATCATTAGTCCGTCAAGCTTCACTTTCAACACAAATCATTACTATCATCAACACATAACACTTCCACACCATCAAAAACTATATTGAAATTTATATAAAATAGATTTTAACATTAATAATCTTTTTATTTATTATTAATTAATTTACAATATTTTATTATTAGTTTAACAATAAAAACCTACTTTTGTCAGACAGACAAGTTTCCACATCAATTACATATTTTTCTACTGTCTCCTCAGTAATATTTTCGTTATTCTCATTAATTCCATCATAACACAATTTCTTGAGAACACTTTCAACATTTTCTTCAACAGATATGATGGGACTAACTGTCTCATCTACTTAAATATTATTATAATATTGCATAATTAGTATTCATTAAATACCTACCAGCTATAACTATCAAAAACTTACCTTTGTTAACAAGGTTACACTCAAAATCATAATTATATTCTATACTCTGTTCAAAATAAGAAACCTAGACGGCGGCGACCAGTTTTCGTCGGGCGGCGGTCAGACTACGCCCAGGGGGTGTGCACTTAATAGAAATAAAACATGCCCACAACTTTTTAGTTATTATTACATACACCAGTGTCGCAGCGTCAATATCATGGATGAATGGTGTATACGAAAATTCAGCTTTCCAGGATGAATTTGATATCACAATAAAATAATCTATTATCATGTTTGATAACATGACTACATGAGAGACATAAAATAAACACAGCTGGTCTGATATATATAATTATTATTATATATATCGGTGAAAATAAATAACAAAATAATATTGTGTACACCGTACATAGAACCAAAAATTATAAAAGGTTCCATAATATAAATTGAATCTACATTTTATTAAATTGTACATCATTTCATAAGTTTTTTGGTCATGCCTACCAAAAATTGTGTAGTCCGAGGTTGCAAGTCCTTTAAAAATGTTACGATGCATCGATTTCCATTAAAGTCAATCGATGATTTTAATGTTTGGGTGAAAAGAACTGGCAATGATGCTTTATTACTGATGTCACCTCCACACATATATAAGTCTTATGTCATTTGTGATCAACACTTTGATGTTTCATGCCAAAGTCCAGGGACTAAGCGTTTGAAATTTAAATCCTTACCTACTTTAAACTTGCCAAGTAAACATACAAATCATATGTATCTCTTATAGTTATCTGTTTCTATATTACTTATTTATTTATTTACTGTGTTGTTTAGTGTTCATATGTTATTACTAGGTAGATACGTTTTTTAAATTATAGTTGTTTATGTATTAAAACAATTTAATATTACTTTGAAGTTGTTTGTTTAAAAATCACTACAATTATGTTAGAGTAGAAAAAGTAATTATATTTTTAATTATATCTAATTTAATTTAATATTATTAAATAATAATAATAATAATATTACTTTGAAGTTATTTGTTTAAAAATCAGTACAACTATGATAGAGTAGAAAAGGTAATTATATTTACAGTTCCATCTAATTTACTTTAAAAAAAAATTAAAATGTAAAATTGGGTGTAAGTTTAAAAAAATTATCAGATATGTTTAAACATTTTATAGCTTTGTCTGAGGAAAATGTTGATTGTTCAGAAGGTACTGCTGAAGCAATTAACATACATGTTCCTGCTACAGTCCTCAATTCAACTGGTAATTGTTTAAAGAATTTAATTATGTTTAAATAATATAATATGAATATTATTTAAATGCATTATGTTAGAATTTTGTTCAAAGTTAAAATTTCAAATTGTTGCATTAAATTATTATTTGAAATATTATTAAATACACAATTTTTTTATTTTATAGCTGTATCTAAGGAAAATGAAAATAAGATACCGGATCCTGCTACATCCCACAATTCAACAGGTAGTTGTAAGTAGCTGATAATTCTATTATATTTTATTTTTTGACATTTCAATTAATAATATATAATAATATTTTCTTTATATCAATACAAAATAAAAATATAAAATATATAAATATAAAATAAATATAAATAATAAATATAAATATATAATATCAAAATAAAATATACTATTACTCTACACTTATTTGATATTTTTCAGTGAACAAAAAACCAAGGTCTCTTTTGAAAATAGCTGGTACAGCTAAGCAGGCTAATTTGTGTTCCCAAGCAAGAAAACTTTATGCTGAAGCCAAAGTTTTACAAAAGAAGACTCAAAGAATTGAAAAGCAAAACCTCCAACTAAAAAATCGTTTGAAATTAGCAGAAACATATGCAAAAAGAAAAGATTTTCAAAATTTCTCATCCCATTTAAATGCTACAACAATCCAATTTTTCGAATCCCAAATAAAATGCCAGAAAAGGAAACCTAAAGGTAGAAGGTTTGATATAAATGACAAGGTTTTAGCATTGTCTTTGTATAAAACTTCCCCAAAAGGGTATAGATTTTTATCAACTTTATTTGCACTACCATCACGCAAAACCCTGTCTGGATTATTAAATAAAGTACCTTTTCATCCTGGAATTAACCTACACATCATCGAAAACTTAAAATGTCAGGTAAAGAACTTGAAAGAAATAGACAAAACGTGCGTCCTACTATTCGATGAAATGGCTCTAGATCCTGGATTAACATATGACAAAAAAATGACATCATATTTGGGTTTGAGAATTATGATGAACATACAACCACAGCACAATTTTCCGATCATGTTCTTGTCTTTATGTTGAGGGGAATAAAAAAAAATGGAAGCAACCGATCGCTTACTACTTTTGTAACGGTACTACGAAGACTGATCGCTTAGTATTATATATCAAACAAGTCATTTCTAATGTTATGTCAACTGGCTTAAAAATAGTTGCTACTGTGTGCGATCAAGGTGCCACAAATGTTGCTGCAATAAATAAATTAAAAGATGAAACCAACAGATATTGTATGCATCAAAATGTTGAAAATTGGTACTTTGGTTTTCTTATAGAAGATGTGGAAATAGTGCCTATTTTTGATCCACCACACCTGTTGAAATGTATAAGGAACAATTTAATGACAAAAGATGTTACTTTCACATATCGCGGCGAAAATCTTACAGCGTCATGGAGCCATATCAAGACTCTATATGAGTTTGATAAAAAAAATGAAGTGAATGGCTTAAGATCTTTACCCTCACTGAAAGATGAACACATTTATCCTGAAAAAATGCATAAAATGAAGGTTAAATTGGCAGCCCAGGTATTCAGTCAGAGATTTGCAGCAATACTAAGACTCTTAGTGGATTATAGTCAGTAGATAATACATTGTATAATATAATAAAAATAAAACAACTTACTAATTTTTTAGTTCCAGACAATAGTTTAAGTGAAGCCAAGGGAACATCTGAGTTTTTATACTTTATGGACCAGGTATTTGATTCGGTAAATGGATCAAGTGTAAAACCTGATAAAAGTAAAACTCTAAGGTGTGCAGTTTCAAAGTCTTCAGCTCACGTTGAGTTCTGGAATGAAGCAATAGGAGTTTTCAATTCAATGAAGTTTGTGACTAAAGATGGAAAATTAACTACACCCCCATGTGTTAAAAACTGGGCCATTACTTTACAGCCATTTAAGTATATTTGGGGTAAACTAAATACTAGTTTCAAATTTTTATTACTTAGGAATATGAACACACTTGAATCCACCTTTGGTGCAGTTAGAAGCCACGGAGTACGAAATACTAATCCAACAACCATACAATTTGTTAGTTCATTAAAAACACTGTTGATCAATAATTTTTCTTCAATTAAATCAATAGGGAATTGTGAAATAACTGATACTGGTGATGTCTTGGATAATCTGAAACAATTTCTTACAGTTAATGAAAATACCAATCCCAGTACATATTTTAATGATACAAATTAATTCAAATTTCCACTATTTCAGAATATTCCTAACTCAACTACCCAAGTTGGTGATATGACTAATGGATATGTAACTGGATATTTGGCTAGTTCTATTATGAAAGTTGTAAAACACTGTAGGATTTGTAAGGATAAATTGATTTGTAGTGATTGAACAAACCCATTAATTGCTTGTAGAGCATATATTGTAAAAAATTTAACAGATCCAACAGAAGAATTTATAAATGCAGTTAAAAATATGCTCAATATATTTACTGACATTATACCAAAAATTTGTTTTCAAAAACTAGTAGGACAAAAATTAAATTTTTTATTTGAAACAAACTCCGATTTAAGTCATTTTGAATGTCCTATACATGAATTAAAAGAACTTATCAAATCAAAACTAGTACAATTTTTATTATTTAACTATTGCAATAAAACCAATAAAATTCTCAAAGGTCTGGATAGAAATTTTGATAAAAGTATTTCCACTAACTGTGTAGCATACAGTTATTATATGAAGCACAAAGGTCATAAAAACAAAAAATGAAGAGCCTACTATTATTTATATTTTTGTCTTCCCTCTTCAAAGGGGTTTGATATTATTAATTATTATACTTGAAACATTAATACCTATATTATAATTTATATTATATTGGTATGTCGTATGTATCATAAAATGTATCGATATTTTTATTATTATCCACATAATATATTGACATTTATGTACAAATTTATAATTCTTCAAGAATTATTATATTTTAGCCTATAGCAACTTCTAACATTTTTAATGATTTTATTGTAAAATATATATTTGTATAGTTATTATAATTGCATGTATTGCTATATTATGTTTATGTTTTAATATACCTAGTATAATTTATTATGTTCATAGTAGTGTAACCTAATCTACAGGGTTTGATATTATTAATTATTATACTTGAAGTAATTTATATATTAATTTATAATATTGTATTGTAAGGTACTTATGTATCATATATATTTATCGATATTTATATTATTATCTATATATTTATATATTAATGTTTATATTAAATTTAAAATTTTTCATAAGAGTCGTGAATTGTAAATTTATTAAGAGTAAAAATTAAACATGGAACTATATAAGTTTTGACTATTTACTATTTAGTATTTGCTTACCAAATTATTATCTGTATTTGTGTTAACAGTAGGTTCACCAGGCAGCAACAAGCTTTTTTTCATTTTCCACTTTTCCAAGTTTGTGGAAGGAAGCTTGACGTTTGAGTTCCCTGTTCAACATTAAAAATTTGAGATTCCAGTTGAGATATTATTTTTTTAAGCAAAATTAATTTATCATTAAATAGACTTATACATACGTCATATACAACTATACATACATAATATATTATTACATAAATTTCAATATTATACTATGACATAAATACATAATTTTATTTATATAACGTGTAATACTAACATTGGTATAATAATACTAATTATTATTAGTTATTTCTATATTTCTATACTATGTAATATGTTAATATATTTCTATTCATTTATCCTTCCTTTAAATGTTAGTTTCTCTACAAATATTTGTATCAAACTGTGGCTTGGTGGGATAAGGAGTATAAAAAACTGAGGATGTGCCGGGTTCGAATCGCCGTGAGCGATAAAAAAAATTTTGCATTTTTTTCACTCCGATTGCCGTGTTATAGTAGCGACGACAAACGCCTAGAGCGCTAGTGTTGCAATAACAACTTTTGCCGATGAGTGTCGATTTTATTTAATCTCTTTTCTATGACTACGCCCATTGTTCTCCCCACCAAATAAACCATCTACTCACCAGCTCGACCGACTACGCGCGACGCAGTTTGTGGCAGGTTTTCGCATGTACGCGAGGGCGGCTTTCATTTGGGCGAATGACCCAAAATAACATATCGTTTGGGCGAATTTATACATATCATTTGGGTGAAATTTACACGGACCTATACTTTATCTAATACAACGTTTGGGTGAACTATAAATATATATTTATAAAAATGTATGTAGACTAATACGTTTTCCTTCCCATTTTTAGAGACTTAGGACTCTCAGTTAACTCTAACTGGTATGGTTAAAAATGTATTGTCATATCGTCATATGTTTTATTATATAATATTTATTATCTTAACTAATTTTTTTTTATTAGCATGGTATCTCATATGCCCATTTGTTTAATAAAGTGTCAAAATTATCATAATAATGTATTAAAAATCCTAACTTATTTGTTTTATTAGCATGGTATCTCATGCCCATTTTTTTAATATAATCGATTATTGTTAATTTTCCGGTTTGATATTCTTCCCATGATTTAAATGTATAGTATTGTTTTTTTATAGTTTTTTTACGTAATATATTGATTTTTTGTTTGTTGATAGAATTAATTTTTAGTAAGTTTTCCGTTTGAATTTTTTTTAAATATTAATTACTTGATAAATATTAGGATGTGGATGATAAAATTGCGAGTTATAATTACTGTGAAATGATTCAGTCCCGTTAGTAGTACGAGGTTCGTCAGTTGGTTCTATGATTATGTAAAACAGTATTTTGCTGAATTTTCTTAAACCAATTTTGTGCAAGATGGTAGACACAGTTTGGCATGTTGGAAAGCATTTAAGTATTGATTTATGAGCAAAAATTTCAAAATCCGAATAAAATTTAGTAATATTTAATTTAGTATTTACTAATGTTCTACATAAATTAATAATTTCATACCACATTAATTCATATTGTTGAGTAGTTTTAGATGATAAGAAACAAAATGCGATGGGTACATAAAACTTTTGCTTGTACACTTGAAGTGTATATAACTGAACAAAATGTTTGCGGGAGTAAGAAAAAGTCCCATCACCAAATACATATTCAGAATAGCATAACAATTTAAGATTAGTATTAGTGTTATTTCTTGAATAACAAAACAAAACTGTTCATCATTAGAAGTAATATTTTCTTGAATATCATAAAGCTGTTTATACGCTTCCTCTATGGTATGAGGCTGATTCAATGCTAAAGTCTTCGGAGTAGAAACAGGATGATTGTGAGATGTATTATTACATTTAATAATATTAGACTTGTTTGGTGACACTAATGTAACGTGGTCGGGGATGGCCCGTTAAATATAAGATATTCAGAGAAGAAATTAATTCTTTTGAATATATTTTTACCGTAGCTCGGGAGCACGAATGGTATTAGGATCTTAATATTACAAATAAATAACGATTGATCTAAATTATTATTAATATAAACAAATTATTTATTATAACTTACAATTTACGAACAAAGTTACCAAAAATGTAGGAATGTACGGAGTTCAGGTGCACGTGATGGACTCGCGGAGAACTGGTATTCTCTTACATAGGGATATTGGCCGGAGCCTTACAATCATACAATATATATGTGTCACCTAAACCGGAGGGGCTTAATATATTATTATAGTCAGCGCATAATATGCCTAATGTGCATATTACGATGCTTATAAAATAAACGTAATGATGTAACATACGTTACACTAATACACTAGATCCACATTTTTTATTTGCACACCGAAAACGTACTGTATCATCTTTTAAAACATATGATTTACAAAATTTATATTTTTCAATTACTATAACTTCGTTATTTCTTATAGAATCGAATTTGGCGTCAACTTTATTATCCATTTTATTAGAAATTGATAAATAATGAAAAATTTAGTTTAATTAGTTTAATTTTAGAGATACTGTTCCGACAACTATGACATAAAGACTAAATAGTAAATTCTATATACCACTATAATATTTACCGGTAGTGCGTTTATAATCAAAAGTAAAGTAATCTTTCAGTATCTGATTAGATTAGATGTAGGCAAAACATGAAAACCCACATGTTTTCGTTCACTATTTATATTTGTAAATTGGTCTTAACAATCAGCTGAAACGATATAATAATAATATTTAGCTGTAGTAATGTATACGTAGGCAGGGTCGTAACTACGGGGGGGGGGTTAAGAGGTTCAAACCCCCTCTTTAGAAAAATAGAAATGATTTCATTGAGCTATTTCCATGTGTAACAACTGCACTTAGTAACGTATCAGAATGGAATGACAGTTCAAGTACTGATGCAAATATGATGTTAAAAGCAATAGATTCAGAATTTCTTGTGTCTCTTCAAGTTATTAAAGTATGAATGTCTACCTTTATTCATAAAGTTTTAGTAACATAAATCATAATTATTGCACTTTGATTTTTGTTTTTACTTTTGTTGGATAGGTATTATTTTCATTTGCGCTACCATTGTGACGCGGCTACGGCGATGGTGGTCTGATTTTCGCAGTGAGCTGGTCGTGTAGCGCCGGTGAGTGGCGCGTAAGTGTGGTATGAAAAGAATATACACCAGGATTGTTAAGGGGTCCTCGTGGATCGTATATTGATGATAATTATAACGGTGATGATGACACAAGTCAAATGCAATATAAAAACAAAAATGTTAATGTCGGAACACAGACGGTCGTCACGTGGTCGCAATGAAGTTTCGGCGGGTCACGTTGTCGGCGTACATCCGTATTGGTGAACCGTTGGTGGTCGAGAGATCGAGCTGCCGGCTGCCGGTACTCGTATTGCGCGACTTGCCTTCCCGTCCCGCCTTGTGCCTTTGTGGCGTGGTGGGAGAGTTGGCGATGTCGCGCTGTAGCCCGTGGTGGCGGTTGACAAAAGCGTAGACCGGCCGCTGCGGTACCTGTACTTTGTACTGGTTGCCGCTGCGTACCGTGTCATACTCCCCTGCCAAACCGCCACACGGGGTACACTTGTACCGGTGTCGGTTGTCGTTACGGGTCGGGGTGGCTTGTACTACCTCTGGCTTTCACTTGAGGTAGACTCGCCCGAGCCCGTGGGTTGTTCTAGTCCCGTTTTGGGGACCCTATCGGAGTATAGTACGCCGGGTCGTACGCTATCTCCTCTAGCCCCTCGTACGCCAATTGGCCCCGGTTATGTCGTCCGTGGTCGGTGGTTGGCGTGGCGG